CAAAAACATTCCTTTTTTAGCGTCTCACATATTGTTCTAATACACATATTAAGCTTTATAGCCCAAAACCATCTTCAAACAGAAACTGTTTTTCACAATGCTATAAAGATCCACTCGGTTTGGCAAATGAATAAAAAAAATTTACTCCCACAACAGGCCTCTCCAATGGCTGATATTACAATGGTTGCTTGTCACTGGTGTAACACAACAGAGCATGTGAAAGCAACGGAAAACTGAGACCCCGGGTTTCCATCTAACTGTTTGCACAGAAACCTTTGCCGAAAAAGAGTCACGGGCCTAAAGCTTTCTGTGCTTTGATGGACAGGAAGGGGAGAACAAAGCCAAAACGCTTCCACTTTGATAGCCTGCTCCGAGAAGGCTTTCCAGTGCTTTGCAAAGTACAAATTGTTCTACATATTTCCCCCCCCAACTTGGTTACTTCATATCCAAGTTATGCAGTGATTTAATTAGAGAGCCTTTTCAAGGACCTGACAGGTAACATGATAATCTGGAATGCCTGGGAAATCAAATTAGAGGTGAAATATGACAAGCATGTCAGCAACGCCGAGGCCTTGTTTTAGTCAACCCTGTTAACGCGCATTCAACAAATTGACTTTCCACCTCAAAACTGCGGTGACTGGTGACCTTCTGCATGCTTACTCTGTCACTACATAATCCCAGCTGTAAACTATTAATACACTAGGAAAAAAATGTATTACCCCCCAAACATGTCCCTATACACACAAGCTTAGCTGGAACAAATCTGGTTCCAGTAAAGCTGACCACAACAGCATCACCATTGGTTTACAGTAACGGTAATTTGTTTACCAGCGTTTTGGGAAAACATTTTATCAAGGGTAGCAACTCTGGCCAAAACTGCGTTCTTGTTTTCGGATGTGATTACTAGCATGCTAACAGTGCATTATATATTGATTACAATCGAAGATGTATGGATTCGTTCGTAATTGAGCTAGCTGGCTCACTGGCTGGTAATACTCAAATAACCATGGGCTTGGCAGTTTGCTAAAAGCACAATATAAATGGCTGGCATCAAAAGTAAACCGTAAAAGCAGAAAAGCTATTAGTTCAATCCATGCCTGTGCAGATGGACAATATAAAATAAAGCAAAACCCAGCACTGCACTGAATCAACTAACTTTTTTTTTTCTTTGAATTATTTATGTTTCCCCTCTCGTTTTTGTGGTTGTAATCTGGTGCAAGGCACTAAAACCGCGTTCATTGGCAGGACGCTACCAGGAACCCACCCACCCCCAAGCTGCACGGGTAACCAGGAAGCTGATGCGTTCATGGTGTCACACACTTTCTCCGTGCGCTTCCTCCTCGAGGGTGACACACGCGCCGAGAGGTGCGAGCCGAAGACGTCACCGCTGTCAGTGACAGCGGGGAGGGTGCTTCCTTCAGACAGAGGAGGCGGCCGCAGAGCTGGTGAACAAAACCAGATGTCAACCTGCCCTGTCAGCTGCTTTAGCTGGCCACGGTGGTAGTACACCAGCACTCCGGGACCAAGCTGCCCTTAAGTGCTGACCTAGGACAAGTTCTGCTATTCAGCTTAGAACAGTTAGGGTTAGAGTTCTGGCTGGTGAAGCTGCTCCTGGATCAGAACTTAAAGCTAACTTCTTCCTCTAGTGACAGCAGCAGGCCAAAGCTGTCTAAGTGCTGATCTAGGACAAGTTCTGCTGTACAGTTTATAAAAGTTAAGGTTAGAGTTGTGGATGGGGAACCTTGTCCTGGATCAACAATTTTAGCTAACTTCTGCCCCCAGCAACAGCAGCAGTACCTATGTAAGGGATGGAGCTCTGCACCATCAACAGCACTGAACTACTGCGCAGTTCCTGCTTCACAGAAACCCCTCCACGCGCCTCCATGTCTTTTCTTCGCTAAATCACAGTGTAGCACCAACATATCTAGCCTGGTCACCAAGCTGGGGTCAATGAAAAAATAAACTCAGAAGACTCAGGACCTTATATAACAAAAAATCATTCAAACCAAAGTAATTAGTCACTCTGACGGCAGGCAGCCATTCCTCTTCTTAAGCTGTTGTAGCAACCGTGTTCAGTAAGCAGAAGCCGCGACCGTGCCGACAGAGACGCAAGCAGAGGGCGTCTGTAGAGTAAATAAATACTCCTCGCAGTAGTAATAAAAACAGCACGGTCGCCGGCAGGTTTCTCAACAAGCTTGTCAAAGGAGCGTAATCGCCGGGCGGGGAGTGAGGGCGAGGAGGCGAGGGGAATGATGAAAAGAAAACATTCGGAGGAGGAGGGGTGGGGGGTGAGAGGGTGGGGGGGGCGGGGAGTCCACGTGAGCAAACATCTCTGATTTGCACTGGAGGAAAAATCACAGAAAGATTCGACGAGGCGGCAAGGAACAGTGCTGCCAAGATGTGGCGGAAGACCGATTACCTGGGAACAGTGCAGCCCTGAGGGAGTGGAGGACTAACTAAGAGTTCAGCTGGATCGCCAGGTTAACTGGCATCAGGAGCGCGGAGGAAGAGAACACCTTTCAGACCTTGACACTTTGAAATGTCAGTGGTTCCTGGTTGCCTGAATGAACAATATGGTTGCCACAGTTTAACGCTATTTGGTTGGAAATCTGGTTGCCTTGGACAACTGGGTAACCGTTAATGTTAAGCCCTGCCATTATTGTTGACATCACGCTACCAAGAACAGCAAAAAGTGACAGATTGCTCGATTCAATGGAAAAACACCTAGATTTTCTCACTCAAAAAATCACCCCATTTCTCCTAAAGAAGGTTATTTCCCAAGAAAAACATACTCTTCTTTTAACTCATTATTAACAGTTACTTTGGCATTGTACGGTTTGTATATATTTTTTCTGGCTCCCAAAACCAAGGCCGTTTATTCATCTCAATAGCACCTGCACAGGCTCCAAGCTGCTGTGGCAAACCATGTAAAAAGCTGTGGTGGGCGGAGGTCCCAGGAGATTACACAATGATCCAGAGGGCATTTAACCCCAACACCAGGAGTTCAACACAAATTCAGCATTTACCCACAGTCCTTTTCATCCAGTCTCAATACAAGTCACTGTTTCCTGGCTCGCCAGAATCCTGTGAAGTTTAGGTTGAAAGCGATTCCCAAACCCGGGCTCAGACCGTGGGTGGGCCAAGATTTCCCTCTAATCTCAAACAACGGGTCAGAGCGAAGTGCCACTGTAAACATTTGTTATTCATTAAACAGATTAATTACTGATCTGATGAAGGATACTGATGGATTTTGATGAATGACACAACATTACAGCCGTTTACAGCCTCAGGATTAGAAACCCAGATGTGGCCAGGGCCTGAACATTTTGAATGATACGTTATTCGCTTAAAATGGTTAGATTTAAGAACAGCTGGCTTTTAAAAAACAACTGACAATTTGATTGGATGATTACATGCAAATGCCTTTGCCCACAAATGTTTATTTGTAGGACAAACACAAGATGTGTTCGCTCATAAGTAAAACTGAATGTCATATAAATGTCAAAAGGGCAATTACAGCACTAACCAACTATTTATAAAGAAATGCATTCATATTTCAAAATGACCATTTAAATCAAAAAGCACTGCGTCTTCCTAAACCGTAGATGTTTTAGTCTCAGATTTAACTTTGTTTTGAACTGTAGAAGGTGCTTGGAAATCTTTCTGGAAGCAGAAATGGTTAGGGTACCAGACTTGCATGTAATTCTGTCTACATTTTCTTTTGAAGAACTTGAACTTTAGGTTCTTGCAGCTCTTACTGTATTTGCAAAATGCAGATCTTGCCATTGTAAATCTTGCCACTGTGGCCTTGGAACTAGATCAGAAGAGCATTTGCCAAATTGCTAAATAAACAAAGGTAAAAAAAAAAAAAAAAAAACTGATGGGCTTTGCAATAGGGGTATATTTACTTCCCTCTACACCCTTGCATGCCTGCAGTTTTCATGCAGCCCTGGACTGCTGCATATAATATTGATACAGGAATGGAAGTTGCACTTGCCTGCTCTCCTGAGAAGGGTATCACCTTGGGTTTCTACCTTGTCACGTCAGTGACATTTGTGTCAGCTTAGTATAGAGCATAAGGCCTGCATGGGTTCTACATGTGGTAATGTGGGTTCTCAGGAAGATTCAAGCACAGCGTAATGTGTATGTAATACCTAATCAGTTTCACTTCTATGCAGCCACATTAATGCACAGGGGCACGCAGCAGTTTTCCCCCACTATTTTCTTTTTTTTTTTTTTTTGGTAATCGTTAACTATTTTCGTAACTGCTTTGTTTTGTTTGTAAAACTGCTCGGTCTTCAGGGACCAAGACTATTTCGGGCTGGTAAATACAGACTCTGTGGTGCCCCTACCTAATAGGGCAGGGGGAAGAGAACAGCAACTGTCAGCATATTAAGATATTGTGCCACATCATCAAGATAAGGTCAAATTACTGCTCAACTGCTTAAAACCTTTAGAATGTTCTGTATTCAAGGTGCCTCAAAGACATCATCCTAGCATGCATGTGTGGTCAAAACCCTCAATATCCATGAGAATGTCTCTGGAAATGCCCTTACTGGCTCAGAAAGAGGTGGTGTCTCCATTGTTCCAGGGAGACACCACCGTGTGGTCAATGCTGAACTTGTCTGCCATAAACAGCTTTTCAACACTGAGCAACACAGAGGTCCCCTTTGTGAGAAAGAGTGCTGTCGTGTGTTGTGCTGCTTTTCTCAATGACAGCACACAGAACATATGCAAAATCACAGAGGCCGTATTGGGTAGGGCTGACCCAGGCTGTTTGTTTGAATGCAAATAAGGTTCCTCTTGGTGTAACAGAAGCTTCTGGGGTGGAAACGTCAGGTAGCAACGCCCTGCGTGATACACATTACATTACTGGCATTTAGCAGACACTTTTATCCATAGCAACAGACTTAATTTTTATATGTGATCCATTTATACAGCTGGATATTTGCTGAGGCAATTGTGGGTGAAGCACCTTGCCCAAGGGTACAAAAGCAGTGCCCCATTGGGGAATCGAACCAGCAACCTTTCGGTTACAAGCCCTGTGCCTTACCGCTAAGCCACACTGCTGCTCAACACACACACAATTACAAAAGGGGTAGCTTTACACAAGTCAGGTCTCATGTCAGCACTTTCTGCAGAGAGGAGGGGACAGACGGGTCTCTCTGGAGAGAGAGGCCGTAAATCAGGGGAGCTCCACCACGCTCCACACCCACCGGCCCCCCTGACCGCACGCTGACCCGCCCCGCCAGGCTCGCGAGCCTCTCGCTGGGGCGGATCCGGGGCGGGGCGACGGCAGGCCGGGGCTCTGAAATAAACTGCCTGTGGCAGGACCGGGAGTGGAGAGTGACGGGCCGGAGGGCATGCCAAGATCCAGAATGCTGATGTGGCGGGGGGGGGGGGATGCGCCCTCAAAGGGACGGGCACCCTGAAAACACCCTTGCCTGGGGGGCTCCACCAGATGCAGTGCAGGAATGGAGGTCGTCATACAAAGCGCTGGGCAAATGCATGCAAAAAGCAGATACTGCATCTTGTATAGGCCCAAACCTGCATCTTTTGTACAGATGCAAACGCTATCCTGTAGATGTAACAGATACTTCTGCAATTCTTTATCAGGCAGGTCTAACCTGTGCTTATGTCAGGAGCAGCACTGTAGACAGCACAATCTCATTAATGTTCATCGAAACAAGCAGTGGCGGGACGGCGGCAGTGTAGCATAGCGGTAAGGAGGAGGACTTATAACCGAGAGGTTGCCGGTTCGATTCCCTGCTGAGGCACTGCTGTTGTTCCCTTGGGCAAGGTACTGAACCCACAACTGCCTCAGTAAATATCCATACAGATAACATTAAAAAATTGTAATCTATGTAAGTCGCTCTAAATAAGAGCGTCTGCTAAATGCCAATAACGTAACAATGTTTTCCAACCCCATTTACCAAACACAGTCTGCGGATCCACACTGGCTTCCTCCTCACCTCTACCACAACCATCTATAAAAAACGCATTTGAATGCACCTAGTAATCTTGCGTGTGAATGGTTGCTGTTGCCTTTTCACAGAAGTTAAACTACCATTTTTATTTCCTGTCATGAGTGCTACCGTATCACTGTGTTCCCCTGTAGCAGGTCCCACGGACTGAGAACAACAGAAATGTGATTCTGTACTCATGGTTCGCTCACTGCCTCCACCGGGAGCACCTTATTCCAGCCAGGGTGGAGGGTCGCAGTGGGGGGGCCATTCTTTCACCTCGGATGACATAAGCACATTCCTTCATCGTGGAAGGGGGGAAGAAAAACAACAATCTGCCTGCTGAGAGCATTGCAGGGCAGGCCCCACCTGGAGAATTGCATCCACGCTTTTTATCTTCTCCAGGCCCGATTACTGTAATTGCCTAATAGGTGGGCTTCCTGCTAAACGCTTGCACCGGCTCCGGCTCGCACCGAACAGGACGGCCAGGGTGCTGTGTGTGTGTGTGTGTGTCTGCACAAATCACTCCCACTAGCTGGGCTTGCCTATGAGAGCTGCTGTCCTGTCAGGAGCCCCCATTCTCTCCAAGGTCTTGCAGTCCCAGTATCCCCTTCCTAGCCAGGCACTGACTGCTCAGTGGGGGCCCGCACTTTCTGTTCCCTCTCTGAAACAGTCAAACTAGCCACCAAAGTGTCTCCAAATTTACTGCAGCCTTAAGATCCAGGTGTACCTCTGTGCTGTTCTACTTTTTACATTACATTACATTAATTTAGCAGGCGCGACTTCCGGCACAGTAGAACAGAAGCGTATCCATTAAAGTTGAATAAGTAAGTGTCAGACCAGGCTAACACCACTCCCAGAACAGTGAGTGTGAGCATAACTTGTGGTAGGGTTTGAATGGTGTTAACTTGTGCAACCTGACTAGACAAGGAAAGCCAAGTACATTACCATACATTTTTAACCACATTTTTAATTTTTTGTCTTACTTTAAACATCACTTTTACTCATATCTTTACCACCATTTTTGGTGCACTTATTTCTGATTTGCTTTTCCTTTTTTTGGCCCGTAGAGCAGTTTGAGGTTCTGTTCCCAAATAAAGAGCTCTACACGAATAAGGAGCTATTATTCAAGGGAAAGCCACGAGCGTAGGCACTTGGCAAGCCCTACGATGTGCAGTTACGAGTCACGGGGAGAACCTCAGCGCTCCTCCCTCCCAATTCAGCCGTGCGCCAGCCCTCGCCCGTCTCGGGCGGCAGTGTAGCATAGCGGTTAAGGAGCTGGACTCATAACCGAAACGTTGCCATTTCGATTCCCCGCTAGGGCACTGCTGCTGTACCCTTGGGCAAGGTACTTAACCCACAATCGCCTCGGTAAATATCCAGCTGTATAAATGGATAAGGTTGTAAAAACACTGTAACCGATGTAAGTCGCTCTGGATTACATTACATTACACTACATTAATGACATTTAGCAGACGCTCTTATCCAGAAGGACTTTCATTGGATAAGATAAGAGTGTCTGTTAAATGCCAATAATGTAATGTAATGTCGTATCATGTCTCGGGAAACCCCGGACACAACGCCGGAACGGCAGGAGGCACACCAAGCGTGGGACCATGTGACAGACGCCTCTTCAGACTGCGTGCCAGAATCCCGAACTGCGTAACCCCCACAGCGCTGCACAACCCTTTTTCCGTGCAGCTAGAAGTATGACAGGAGCGGCTGGGACTTCCTCTACAGGAGGAAGTGTCTCGCTTCCGTGGGCATGTTCTTCAAACAAACACACGCTGGCACGCCCATATCGTGCCAGATAGGATGATTTTAATACGCGTTCGCATGGAGTGCTTTCCAGCATCAGCAACTCTGTTGACATGTAACCCTGCAACTCTGTTGACATGTAGCTCATTCATGTCACTGACACAGCAACATTGAGACCCTGCACCTTTCAATGAAGGGTACAACTCTGCAACGAACAGGGGGTAAAGCGTGCAGACCCAAAAGAAGAGTAACTATCTACACAGAAACCTAGCTTTCAAGCTAATTACCCATCCTGCTTATAAGCAATGATATTGCAAGCTAATTTAGCTTGCCAGATTAACTGGCTGGCTACCCTGTTTACTAGGAACTTCATGATGTGCTAATTCAGTACTGATTAAAGCTTGCCAATATTTAGATGTGGCACAGCCAATGTCACAGTTAATAATTAGCTTGACACTTGATTGTCTCGCAAATGTTAGCATTGGTTGCTAAATGACAAATTCTCTAATTTTAACATTGCTAAGATATTTCAATTAGCTATGCTTATTGCCACTCTATGTAGAAAACTTCCTTCTGCCTCTTATTTTTAAAAGGGCAGGAAAGGGGCAGGGCTTTGTCCCAAAAAGATGACCAGTTAACAGTCACTCTCCACTCGATGGTGTATGGGCAATGGCTATGTACACTGAACTCGATGATAATGCAGGTTCTCTCCGAGACAGTAGGCAATGACAACACTTTGCATCAACTATATAGTGGCCTTTACCGTTTACGACAGCCACCTTACATTTTTTGAAGTGTCGTACGATCAGGAAAGGACAAAGGTGACTCTTTGCAGGGGGTTATAAATCAAGCGCCTGCTCATCAGTCATGCGTGAGAGGGGGAATTCAGCACCTTTTACATCACGGCGCAGCATTCTTGTTAAGAGAAATGGAAACGCGAAACCGGTTCCCTGCTTCTGGGCGCGCATGCCGACTGCACTGCAGGGAGAGGAACTATGCATTGCATCCGAGCTCTGCGCGGGCGTGGCGGGCCCTTCCCAGAGCGAGAGCCACGGGCCATCTGCAGAAACATCTGCATTAGCAGTATGTGAAACGCCCGAGCAATGCGCGGACCGACTGACGCAGGCGGCCTCCTCTGCTTTCACTAAACCCAGCATTCTCCGCCATTCGCTGTTGGAATAACTATGGTTTCTAGCGAGCCTATCCCGTATCGTTATGTTACAAATACACAGGCCTCTGGTAAGCATCAGCCCTCTGTGTCCCAGTACCAGCAAGCAAACCGTCCAGGCCACGGTTGAGCCAGAGCGATGCAAGCCTGATACCGTTATGCTGCCGCAGTGTAGCATAGCGGTTAAGGACGAGGGTTCGTAACCAAAAGGTTTGCCAGTTCAATTCCCCACGGGGGCACTGCTGCTGTACCCTTGGGCAAGGTGCTTAACTTAGAGTTGCCTCAAACATCCAGCTGTAACATTGTAAAAACCTGTAACTGAAGTAAGCCGCTCTGGATAAGAGCGCCTGCTAAATGCCAATAATGTTTGTAATGTAAAATGTACAGGCCTCTGGGTAAGCACCAGCGCTCCATGTCCGACTGTTAGGAAATCTGTCTGTAAGCGAGCGACGGCCGGGCCGTGAGGCGGAGCGACGCGGAAGGCCAGCCGCTGGCCGGCGTCCCGCTCGGCCCCGTGTTTACACTGAGGGCCCCGCGAGCGGCGGGGACGGACGCCACGGCCAAAGAGGATCTGGGAGAGGCGGAAAGAGCAGGCTCACACAGATCCCTGCCAGCTTTTTCAGAGAGCCGGGGAAAGGGGAGAAAGGGAAAAGAGAAAGAAAGAAAAAGAATGACAGGGTGGACGTACACAAACACGGGTGGCCGGTATCCGTGGGGCATCCCGCTCCGCTTCCTGTGTGTAACACCCCTAATCCACCCGTCTCGTCCACTCCAGCCAAGCTGATTGATTATCATGAGGCTCTGCCCCGTCATAACCCAACTCCTCCAGACCGATCCCATTCTTCCGAGCAGCGAATTCTTACGGGGGGAGAATCCGATGTGACTCTGATAGCGCGTCCAAATATTTTATAATAACAAATCATTCTAAGCAAAGTAGTATTGTTACTGCATTTCTAAAACAAAACAATTGCAATGCACTGCTATGTACTCTCTCAAAAATGCCATAACGGATATCTACTTGCATCACTTAGCATAACATCTCACGCTTCATGAAAGCCTCTGGATAGATGGATCTTGATGGAGAAATTGAGATACAATAGCATTTCCCCTCTTGGGATATGAACATAAAACCTTAGGGATGTAGGCAATATTCCACAATGCCCCATGATTGCTCTTCATTA